GACTTAATTTAGAGAAAGAGTTTAAAATATGTGCAATTTTCCCCAAACTTTTGTGGTATATTTTATATACAGTCATTGCACATATTTAAAGTATACAGTTTGATCAGTTTTAACATAGATATATGCCTGTGAAACCATCATCCCGAACACAATAGAGAACATTTCAGTCACCCCCAAAAGTTTCCCCTGCTCCTTTATGATCCGTGCCTCCCTCTACCCAGTCCCTAGTCGTGTACTTAGTAACTTTCTGTCATAATAAATCTAGAATTTTACATAAATTGAGTTATACTGTGGACTTATTTGGTCATATTTTTGCTCAGATTGTTTAAAGTGCAAGAATTATTATTTTGTGGCTTTATTCCATATTTTTAAAAACAATTTTTAAAAAACACCGTCTTCCCTGAAGCTCATGAGATTAAAAAGCTATATGAGGGCTTCCCTCAGATATGACTGGTGAATTCCTTCCCTTGTCCTCTAAATGAGTATAGTTCTGAAAATAACAGACTCCACTTGGAAATACCATTTTGGATTTGAAAGTGACTTGAATATTAGAGTGCACCTGCTGATGTTGAAAACAATGTGGATTTTTGTTACTGGATCTTAGCCTCTTTCGTGTGAGTTAGTTCCTCCACTACGTGGAAATAGTTCCGAGTCTTAGCCTCTTTCGTGTGAGTTAGTCCCTCCACTACGTGGAAATAGTTCCGCACAGCGGTGGAGTTGGGGTTTTTTTTTTTTCTTTTTTTTTTTTGGTGAATGTGGCAGTTTAAAGTTCTCATGGTGTGATTCCTGAAACTCTTGCGTTTCTGAATTATTTTATTGTTTGACTTATTTTGTTCTGCCTACCATCTTTTAAAAAAGACTTTCTCCTACTTAATAGAAAGATATAAGTGATTGTTTAAGTTTTACACCTGGGAAGATCTAAGACGTAACCTAAAGTTTAGAGTGGTGAATTAGTAGGATACGCTCCCTTAAAATTGTGAGAACCTTTAATATCCTGCGGACACTTGAGACGTTAACATCAGCAGATGATGGTGGTTAAGCATGATAGTTAACAGCCTGCAGGGATCTGAAATTAGGCTGCCTTAATTCAAATCTGGACCCTACCATTTAATAGCTGTGTGTCTTTAGATAAGCCACTTAAGCCGTCTAAGCCTCAACTTTCTTTATCTGTCAAATGGAAATAATGACAGGACCCATCTTATTCACACAAAATACTAAATTATACATGAATATTGAATATTTAATATAAATATTAAATGTTATAAAACTCATAGTACAGTGCCTGGCATATGAAACACACACTCACTAAATGTTAGCTTTTGTTATCATTGAAAGGATTCCAGATAATTAATGGCTCCCTTATTTTATGCAATATTCAAATTACTTAAAAAAAGAAAAAACTTTGTATCCCTCTTCGGTCTTGAAATAAAATTCATCTGAAGTAGTGATTTGTAGATTACTACCTGTCACCCACTTTACAGTCCAGACTACTCATGAAAAGGAATTTTTACTTCATGAGCTAGCTTAGTCCTGGAAAGCAATTTCGTAACATTACTAACAAAATATTGCCATTTCTGAACTCAGTGTGCCACAGCAATTTCTGAGATGGAGGGAGATTGGAGTCTTTCCTTAAAGGGTCAGGTTCTGTGTATTTCCCGTCTTGTTTGTTGTTAGCCCTGGGCTTTGTTCACTGGTTCAGTAATACAGAGATGAGACCGCCTGTGTGTTCACATTTTTGAGGATTTTTAACCTGTTTGAGTTTGACCAGAATAGATACTGTCTTTACAATCTTATTTTTGACAATATGATTTACTTGGGTACTATTTTCAATGAAGAAACACTTACAAGAATCAATTTGCATAATAATGGATTTTTGGAAAATATTGTTTAATATGCTGAAGCCTGTTGTTACTTGACCTAAGCCAATTCTTTGAAATGATGCGAGGAAATCAGAGAGAGCTAGTTTAGATCTGTATTGTCTTTGAAAGAAGTGTATAAAGCTGATAGCTATAGTATAGTGCGTTCTGCATCCACAGAACTAAGCAACTGTGGACCAAAAATATTTGGGAAGGAATTTTAAAGTCACCTTGAAAAAAAAAATAGGGAGAAAAAAAAAACTTGGGAAAAATAATACAACATGGAAAAATAATAAAAATAAACACAGTAAGTATAACCACGATTTACATAGCATCTACATTGTACGAAGTATTATAAGGAATTTAGAGATGATTTAAAGTGTACTGGAGGATGTCCATAGGTTTTAGGCAATTACTGTGTCAGTTTGAATCAGGGACTTGAGCAGCCTGGGATTTTTGCTGTCTGGGAGGGTCTTGGATATCTGGATACGTTCTGCTGGAGCCAGTCCCCAGCAGGATACCAAGGGACAACTGCCTGTGGTTTTAAAATTTGTTTTAATTATACTTGTAGAGTATGAACATGTTTTCTTTTTTGGAAAAAAATTTCAGGTGCTTTATGGTCGTGTGAGTATAAAGCTTTATAAGTTGAGTTAAAGCCTTCACAAACATTTTTCCCCTTTATAACACAAGTTGCCTTCTCTGTAATTATTGCTGTTTCAAAATTGGCATTTCCCATGTAGGAATTCTTTACATACTCTGTTTACAGATCATTATACTATGTTGTCTGTATTTTTTACCTAGCTTTTGGTTTATCTTTTAATTTTATTTACAGCATTTTTTGGTATAATGCTTTGTCATTTTGACATAATTAAGTGTATTGGTTGTTTTTCTTTATGGTTTTTGCTTCTGGTTTTTTATTTAAGAAGCCTTTTCCTAACTCAAGTTCACAAGGATATTCTTCAAAATTTTCTTCTAGTACTTTTAATGGTTTAAAAAATTTATATCTTTAATGTGTATATGGAATTTATTTTGGTGTACTATGTGAAGACGAGTATACTTAATTGTTCTCGAAGAGCAACAAGTATTTAAACCTCATTTATTGAGTGATTTTTCATTTCCTCACTGTATTAGTCTGTTCTCATGCTGCTAATACAGACATACCCAAGACTAGGTAATTTTAAAAGGAAAAAAAATTTTTTTTTTTTAATTTAGACGGAGTCTCACTCTTGTCACCCAGGCTGGAGTGCAGTGGCGCGATCTTGGCTCCCTGCAGTGTCCGCCACCTGGGTTCAAGCTTCTCATGCCTCAACCTCCTGAGTAGCTGGGATTTCAGGCACCTGCCACCATGCTTGGTTAATTTTTGTGCTTTTAGTGAGATGGGGTTTCGCCATGTTGATCGGGTTGGTCTCGAACTCCTGACGTCAGGTGATATACCCTCCTTGGCCTCCCAAAGTGCTGAGATTACAGATGTGAGCCACCGCACCCTGCCAGGAAAGAGGTTTAATGGACTCTCAGTTCCATATGGCTGGGGAGACCTCACAATCATGGCAGAAGGCGAATGAGGAGCAAAATTATATCTTACATGGCGACAGGCAAGAGAACTTGTACAGGGGAACTCCCATTTATAAAACTATCAGATCCCATGAGACTTACTACCCTAAGAACAGTAGGGGGAAACCGCTCCCATGATTCAGTTAAGTACACCTGGCCCCACCCTTGACACAGGAAGATTATTACAATTCAAGGTGGGATTTGGGTGGGGACACAGCCAAACCATATCACTCACTGTTTTGAAATAATACTTCTAACATATATTAAATTCCCATATATAATTTAGACCCTGTTTTTGGGCTAGTACTATACAGTTTTCATTACTATAGTTTTACAAGGCTACAATACTTTATGAGAAACCTTGGAGGTCAGATGTGGTTTTGTAGTCAGGAATTTTTTCCAGTAATACTTGGTGGGCATTATGTAGTATCCAGTAATCACATACATTGTTTTCTTAATGAAATGTATGAAGTCACACTATGTGGGATATATATAAACAGTAAGTAAGCTCGGGTCAGGTCCAGTTTTGCTGCTAGATGAGTTAAAAGGAAAAACTTATTTTCAGAGCTTTTTGATTTTTGCAGTACAAATAAAGAATTACGGATTTGTAATTTATCTTGCTGTTGAGGGCTGTTTTCCTTCTTTGTTCATCTGTTTTAAATTGTTTGGTTACTCTTGTATCTTTACTCTCCATTTGAATTTTAGAGTCAGTTTGTCGAGTTACTTGAAAAATCTTTCAACACCTGTGAAAGGAAGGGATCTACAGCTGGTTAGCAAAATCCTGTAGAGATTTTTCATTGGGATTGTGCTAACTAGTTGGGGAAGAACTGAATCTTAACAGTGTTTGTCTTCTCGTCCATGAACACAGTTAACTTTTCTTTTGTTCAGATGTTCTTTTATGTCTTTCAGTAAGGTTTTAGTTTTTTTCCCCAAAATGCTTGCACATTTTTGTTGATTTATATCAAAGTGCTTTTATGGTTTTGCTGCTGTTGTGAATAGGATTTAAAATTTCTTTTAAATTAAAAACTGCATTTTCTAGTTGTTACTGTTGATTTATACATGAAAATATTGAAATTATATTGATATTGAGTCTGACCAGTTTGTTGAGTTCTGTTGTTCTAATAACTTGTCAGTTGATTATCTTGGGTTTTCAGTTAGAAAATCATATATTCAGACATTGATTTTAATCTTTTCCTTGTCAGTCTTTATACGTCTTTTTTTTTTTTTTCTTTTTTGTAGAGACAGGGTCTTGCTATGTATCCCAGGTTGGTCTTGAACTCCTGGCCTCAAGCGATCTTCCTACCTTGGCCTCCCAAAGTGCTGGGATTATAGGCATGAGCCATTGCACCTGGCACTTTTTGTTTGTTTGTTTTCCAGTTGCATGGTATGTTTTCAGCATTCAGTTTTGAGACATCTAAAATATCTCTAAAATATTGTTTACTATGAAGTACATTATGCTGTAATCACATTCTGAATGCCTGAGTAAATACATGGTAGAAGGGGTAGATCTTCTTTAAGTGGGGGTAATGGAACGTTTCTGAGAAGGGAAATATTTATTATTGGAGGATTTAATGTGTGATCTTTTCGTTGCAGATATGATGTAAGATACTTCTTCAAGATTGGACAGCTGGGGACCTTCTTCTAATTAACCTTAAACCGACTTACAGCCATAGAGACACCTCACAAAGTTCCCATTTTTCGTTGTTGTTGATTTTTTGCTTTACACCTTTTCTGACCTTGCAACCATGTATGGAAGTGCTCGCTCTGTTGGGAAGGTGGAACCGAGCAACCAGAGCCCTGGGCGTTCACCCAGGCTTCCACGTTCCCCTCGCTTGGGTCATCGTCGAACCAATAGTACAGGAGGGAGTTCGGGAAGCAGTGTTGGAGGTGGCAGTGGGAAAACCCTTTCTATGGAAAATATACAGTCTTTAAATGCTGCGTATGCCACCTCTGGCCCTATGTATCTAAGTGACCATGAAAATGTGGGTTCAGAAACACCTAAAAGCACCATGACACTTGGCCGTTCTGGGGGACGTCTGCCTTACGGAGTTCGGATGACTGCTATGGGCAGTAGCCCCAATATAGCTAGCAGTGGGGTTGCCAGTGACACCATAGCGTTTGGAGAGCATCACCTCCCTCCTGTGAGTATGGCATCCACTGTGCCTCACTCCCTTCGTCAGGCGAGAGATAACACAATCATGGATCTGCAGACACAGCTGAAGGAAGTCTTAAGGGAAAATGATCTCTTGCGGAAGGATGTGGAAGTAAAGGAGAGCAAATTGAGTTCTTCAATGAATAGCATCAAGACCTTCTGGAGCCCAGAGCTGAAGAAAGAACGAGCCCTGAGAAAAGATGAAGCTTCCAAAATCACCATTTGGAAGGAACAGTACAGAGTTGTACAGGAGGAGAACCAGGTAAGTTCTACATGTGTGTTTAACTGTATTGGCTGAATTCATGTATGTAAATGAAATAGCCTTTTTTCTCCCTTTTCCTAGATTTTTCCCTTCGTAGTATATGTATCTTCCTTTTTCCTATTTTACTATTTTGTGTCCTCCATTTCTCAGCCCTTTCCAAATTTGGTCCTGTGCCCTGTTTTTTTCTAGTTGCCCATGTTTGCTTGCTTCCATTCTTGCTTGGTTCTTTTCTCTGGTTTCTGTTTCTCTTTGTGTCTTTCCTTTCAGCATATGTGATTTTTTTTTTTTTTTTAATTCTTCTGAGGTTTTAATTTTGCCACACACTGTAATATCTTTTACCAAATGTATTTAGACTAGGTAACTTAAGTGTAAGGTATACCATTAAGATTTGTCATGATGTCAAAAAGTCTTTCTTAAAAACAAAACAAAATGACTATCACAAGATAAATCAGCGTTGTCAGCTGAGAACAGAAATTACTTTTAAAGAGTTAATACTGGCCGGGTGTGGTGGCTCACACCTGTAATTCCAGCACTTGGGAGGCCGAGGTGGGCAGATCATTGAGGTCAGGAGTTTGAGACCAGCCTGGCAACATGGTGAAACCCCGACTCTACTAAAAATACAAAAATTAGCCAGGTGTGATGGTGTGTGCCTGTAATCCCAGCTTCTAAGGAGGCTGAGGCAGGAGAATCACCTGAACCTGGGAGGCGGAGGTTGCAGTGAGCTGAGATCCTGCCACTGCACTCCAGTCTGGGGTGACACCGTGAGACTCTGTCTCAAAAAAAAAAAGTTAATGTTGATGATGTGTTTATTAAGTACGAACAATAACTATTCATTTTGTTGCCATTCATGAAAGTTTAACTTCAGGATGCTTTTGTAGCTTTTTGTTCTTTAATTCTTTACATTTAAGGTAGAGGAAAGGCAACCTGGTGTGATTGTTTGCTTGTAGAAAATAAGTGAGATGATTGGGCTTTATCATCATGGGGCTTTGCAGTTTGAGAGCTAAGTGCCGTCACATTAGCTGCAGGAAATACTCACTTATTTTTCTGTGCCCCTCCAGGTTACAGTTGATGTGTTTGGTGATAGCCATGTCACATTCAGTGAGGAAGCTGATGACTCCAAAGATGTGAACAAATCGTATTCAGGCTCTACCAGTTAAAATGTTAAACATACTTTTTTGTTTTTGTTTTTTTTGAGACAGAGTCTTGCTCTGTCTCCCAGGCTAGAATGCAGTGACGCAGTCTTGGCTCACCGCAACCTCCACGTCCCAGGTTCGAGTGATTCTCCTGTCTCAGGCTCCTGAGTAGCTGGGATTACAGGTGCCTGCTCCCACGCCCGGCTAATTTTTGTATTTTTATTAGAGGCGGGGTTTCACTGTGTTGGCCAGGCTGATCTCAAACTCTTGACCTCAGGTGATCCACCTGCCTCGGCCTCCCGAAGTGCTGGGATTATAGGTGTGAGTCACCATGCCCGGCCCATACTTTTTGTTTAAAAGACTTTTGGAATTTTTCTCTCTTTACTTTTTTTCCCCCTGTGGTGCAAGTTGTGTGTACTTTTAGAAGTTTTCTTAAACTTGCAAGCTTGAATTTTTTTCCTTCTTAAAAAAGCTGTCTTATACTCTTAAAAGGAGAATATTTAATTAACTACCTCATTGTTGGTATTACACTTTATTTTTGGATTAGGTTACTCAAAATTATAAAGAAAGCATAAAGATATCAATTTCTGCATTCTTCTTAAATGATACCAAGAAGTAAAGAAGCAATCAGAAATTGTGTCTCTGATGAAGGAGTCGTGTGGCACACAAAGCTGTTTAGGTCCCTGATGGACCTAATGTGTGACTGTGGTCCCATGAAGTTATAATATAGTATTACCAGGTGTGATCGCTCGCACCTGTACTCCCAGCACTTTGTGAGGCTGAGGGGGTGCGGATTGGTTGAGTCCAGGAGTTCGAGACCAGCCTGGGCAAAATGGTGAAACCCTGTCTCTGCAAAAAATAGAAAAAAATTAGCTGGGTTTGGTGGTGGGCGCCTGTACTACTTGGGAGGCTCAGGCAGGAGGATCACCTGAGCCTGGGAGGTCGAGGCCACAGTGAGTCGAGATTGGGCCACTGTACTCCAGCCTGGGTGACAGAGTGAGACCTGTCTCTAAAAACAAAACAAAGATTATAATACAGTGTTTTCACTGTATCTTTTCTATGCTTAGATGTGTTTAGATACACAAATATTTACCATTGTGTTACAGTTGCCGACAGTTTTCAGTACAGTAACATGCCGTACAGGTTTGTAGCCTAGAAGCAGTAGGCTATATCCTATGTCCTGGGTGTGTGGTAGGCTGGACCAGATGTGTTTGTATGAGTCCACTTGATGATCTTTGCACAATGATGAAATCGCCTTTCTCAGAACGTATCTCTGTCATTAAGCAACATATGACCGTAAATCTAATCTAAGATTTCTGTCGATAGTCTTACCATTCTTACTAATATGCAGTCCAGATACTCAGATCTTCTGTTTTGGCTACTCGAAGATCTCTAGTTACATTACATTTTGTATGTTAAAGCTCCAGACACATTTTCAGCAATAAAAATAGCTCATTTTTTCTGTTCATAAATATAAAACAGAAAAGCATAGATATGAAAGCAAAATATATTCCAGATCCTCCCATCTACTGACAACTTTGCTATTCCACCGTTAGCATTTTGACATTTCTCTTTACTGAAATACTTGTATGCATATACACATAACAGATTTACCTGAATGGAATATTGTTGGTATTATGCTGTGACCTTTTTTTAGCTAACAACATTTCTACTGTATATTAAAGGCCTCTAATATGTATCTAAATCATTACTTTTAATGCCTCCTACTATTCTATTGTTATTCTAGTTAATATCACAGGGCTAAAATTCTTCAAATGTACTTGGTATTACAATGCAAATTAAAAACTAAACCTTGAATTCATTTGAATCAGATATCTAAGTAATTAGAAATTATGATTTACTCTTTCTCAGATACGTTATGACTTCAAACTACTTTGCTTTTACTTTTTAATCAGTTATTAAAGTTGTCACTACTCAACATTTGAATATTTTAGTATACTTAAATCTCTTTCTTAGAGACTTAGCTTCTTTAAAGAAGAGAAATTGTCCTTTAAAAAATATTCCTTAGGAAGTTCTTTGAGTTTGAGTCATTAAGACTTTAAGAATGTGTAAAGAAAGAAAAAAGCTCAAATAGACCCCACTGATGGAGTCTAAAATTAAGAACAGGGTTCTTAAATGCTAGCTCAGAAACATCAACATCAACAGGCATATTTGGTTAAAACAGAGATTGCCAGGCCTTCCTTCATACCAGCTAAGTACAGTCCCTGGAGATGGGGTCCAGGAACTTAGGTTTTGAACAACCTTCTCTGGTGGTTTTGATGAGAAACCACTCTTGGGATCTTTAGAATTTAGTAAATCTAATCTAATTCTATCTTTTTTTTTTTTTTTTTTTTTTTTTTGAGATGGAGTCTCGCTCTGTAGCCCAGGCTGGAGTGCAGTGATGCGATCTTGGCTCACTGCAACCTCTGCCTCCTGGGTCCCGGTTCAAGCAGTTCTCCGGCCTCAGCCTCCTGAGTTGCTGGGATTATAGGTGGCCCCCCAACACACCTGGCTAATTTTTGTATTTTAGTAAAGATGGAGTTTCACCATGTTGGCCAGATGGTCTTAAACTCCTGAACTCATGATCTGCCCGCCTTGGCCTCCCAAAGTGCTGGGATTAAGGGCGTAAGCCACTGCGCTGGGTGTCAATCTAATTCTTAAACTTGTCTGTTGCCTGTTTGTCAGTTTGTGATGCTTCTGTTGTGGCACTTTTGAGCTCAACCATGAAAGAAAGGGGAAGAAACAAGGGACCATTTGCTCAGTGTGTCTCATCTTTTATTCTTCCACTTTACATCTCAGGGGTGTGACCTACTCCTGTTCGTAATGATCATTAACTGTGACAGGGACCCTCAGTGGATGGGGCGTGTGTAGGGGAAAAGGGTGTTTAAAATTTTAGATATGTTTAGTTAAAAAGAGCCCTCCAGGTGATTTTGATGTCTCCTCACCTTGTGAATCATTGATGCACCAGATAAATGTTCAAATGATATATGACAGCAGAACAGTGAAGTACAGTTTCTTCAGTTGACATTTTTAAGTTGTCAGTACAATACTGACTTTAGTTTTTAATTTGCATTGCACTACCAAGTAAATTAGTTGAATTTGTCAGTTGAAGTACAACACCAAGAAAAAAATCATTCCTAAATACAAAATAATAGTACATTCTCAGTTGTTTTTTAAATTGTTGTTGTTTTGAGACAGAGTCTCGCTGTGTCACCCAGGCTGGAGTGCATGGCGCAATCTTGGCTCATTGCAACCTCCGTCTGCAGGGTTCAAGTGATTCTCCTGTCTCAGCCTCTGGAGTAGCTGGGATTACAGGCGTGTGCCGTCATGCCCGGCTAATTTTTTTTTGTTGTTTGTTTGTTTGTTTGTTTGTTTTTGAGATGGAGTCTTGCTCTGTTGCTCAGGCTGGAGTGCAGTGGTGTGATCTCGGTTCACTGCAAGCTCTGCCTCCCGGGTTAACGCCATTCTCCTGTCTCAGCCATCCCGAGTAACTGGGACTACAGGTGCCTGCCACCACGCCCAGCTAATTTTTTGTATTTTCAGTAGAGACGGAGTTTCACTGTGTTAGTCAGGATGGTCTCCATCTCCTGACCTCGTGATCTGCCCACCGCGGCCTCCCAAAGTGCTAAAATTACAGGTATGAGCCATCACGCCCAGCCAATTTTTTGTATTTTTAGTAGAGATGGGTTTCACCACGTTGACCAGGCCGGTCTCGAACTCTCGACCTCAGGTAATCAACCTGCCTTGGCCTCCCAAAGTGTTGGGATTACAGGCACAAGCCACTGCACCCGGGCCTTTTTTTTTTTTTGAGATGGAGTCTCAGTGTTGCCCAGGCTGGAGTGCAATGGCACAATCTCGGCTTACTGG